TCTTTAACTGCTGACAACTTCATTGAAGATATTGAAGCCCTGGCTGGCGTAGCTCAGTGGATTGAGCGTGGGCTGGGAACCAAAGTGTCCCAGGTTCGATTCCCAGCCAGGGTACATTCCTGGGTTGCAGGCCATAACCCCCAGCAACCGCACATTGATGTTTCTCTCTCTCTCTCTCTCTCTCTCTCTCTCAATCTCTCTCTCTCTCTCCCCCTCCCTCCCTTCCCTCCCCAAAAATAAATAAATAAAATCTTAAAAAAAAAAAAAGAAGATATTGATATATGTTCCTCACGCAAACCAGGTAAATTCAGACTTCTTCAAAAATATCATAGTTATAACAACTCTTTTTTTAGCTGTTCATTAGTGATTAGTAGTGTGCTTAAATCTTATCTCATTTGCTTTGCGCTCAGCTAACTTATGACAGGCTTCACTACTAATCGACAGGGAAACCACCAACTCCTGTTGCTGCCAGTGCTTTTCTTAGTTCACTCCAACAGCAAAAATCTGAGCTCAGAAAATGATCCTGGGCATGTGTTTCTTTTACTTGACTGTGGATTAAAACATTAACTAGGCTAATTTGAATCTGTCTTCAAAAGTAATTTTTTTCCAGCCAAATTTTTAATAATGACAGGTACTTTGAGGTCAAAAACCTTAAAAAGGAGGACTGCAATGTAACTATTGACAAATGTGTATATTTAAGTTGTTAGGCGCATACTGTTAAAGCAATTTCAGAAAGCAGGGCAGAGAGGTTACTTGTTTCTGCTGTTGAGCTTTCCTTAGTGCCTCAAGTCTCTTTTCTTTGAGGTGTTCCAATTCATCCTCATCGATCTGATCCAGTTTCTGAATTTCAGCATCCAAATGTTCTTCCACTAGTTTGGTAGCCTGAAGCAACTGATTTTCCAGGACTTTTGAAAACATGTCGACAGATGCATTAGCTTCCATTCTTCACAGTTCAGCCTTGCTGCTGGGTACAAGGTTTACAAAGTTAAAAAACAGCAGCAACAACATCAAAATACCAACCCGTGTGACTCAGTTGGTTGGGAGTCGGTCTGAAAAGCCAAATGTCACCAGCCAGTTGGATTCCTGGATGGGGCACATGCCTGGGTTGCAGGTTCAGCCTCCAGTCCGGGTGTGTACAAGAGGCAATTGATCAATGTTTTTCTCTTCCACTGATGTTTCTCTCCCTCTTTCCCCATCCCTTCCACTGTCTCTCAAAATAAATGAATGAAATCTTTTTTTAAAAAGTGTGAACAGTAAGTAAAGTTTTTCTCTTATTTTAAAAAATTCTAGCAAGTACAAAATTTGTAGTCCACAAATCATGTTCTTCAGAACATAAAAAAAGTGTTCTGCTCTCAACCAAGCACTTCATGCTAGGCTTATGAATTTTTATTTAAGTGATTTAAAATTTAATTTTCAGTAGGCTCTAGTGACAGCACTCAGAAACTATTTGGAGCAAAGCCTAGGTGCTTCTGATTTATGTGTTTCACTATACCAAAGCAAAGACAAGTCTTCAAGACCATTAACAGACCAGAGAGAAATGAGTAGTTGGGAGTTACAGTAGTTGGAGTTATACTTTGTGGTACTCCTACAGTCAGTGTTCTTATCACAGAAAAAGGGAAGCAAAGCAGAAATGACTGATCAATGGTAACATTTAACTGTTGAGCAAAACACATTTTTCATGGCCTCTGCCTAAATGACTTTCATTTCTTTAACTCCTAAAAGAGCCTATTATAGTTTATGTAAAGAGTTGTGTGTGGTGTTCCCTAAGCTTCAGTTTCCACTCCTGTTCTCCTATCACCTAACAAAATCTATGAGGCCACAAGATTGATACTGGTATTGATTTACTGACACTCAGTGTTCTTAATGTTGATGTGACACAATATAACACTCTAAATATTAAGAATATTGATTTTTCCCATTACTCCTCTATGTGAGATAGGAGTTTATACAAATCAGATGGCAATATTTGTGTACTCCTGGGTTATTACTACAGAAAGACCATTATTTGCCTATCAAAACAGGAGACTGTTGGCATCTCAACTAATGATATATTTGCAAATACTAACAAAGCACTTTTAAAAATCTGAATAAACTGTGAACTCATCCACCAGCTTCTGACACATAACCAGGCCCACACAGACCCCCTATACCTGTTCAACTGAAGAGATATAGCCTTCCTACAAACTTCACTTCTGATTTCTTTTTCTTCAAAGTAAAAGCAGTTGAAATGTATACTTCACCTTTATTATTTCTAGAGCTAGCAATGCCTAGGGCATAGCGGATGCTCAAAAAATATTTGTTAACTTTGAATGAACAAACTGTAAGTTCCTCATAAATGGTATACAATTTTAAAGGGGCTGTATTTCAAATGTAGTAAAAGAATTTCACATTCCCTTCCTCCCAAGAACAATGTCAGTAAGATTGTAACCTTCACTAGAGGCTGGATGAAACAGAAAACTGGATATTATACTCTGACTTGCATGTCAGAACCTGTTTTTACCAGGGACACAGAGATGCTTATACCTGGAGTTTTATAGGATGAGTTTAGAATTTTTTTTAAAAGATTTTATTTATTTATTTTTAGAGAGGGAAGGGAGAAAGATAGAGAGAGAGAAACATCAATGTGCGGTTGCTGGGGGTCATGGCCTGCAACCCAGGCGTGTACCCTGACTGGGAATGGAACCTGCGACACTTTGGTTCGCAGCCCGCTCTCAATCCACTGAGCTACTCCAGCCAGGGTCTGGATGAGCTTAGAATTTAATGCTGGGATAATTTGGAGCAGAAGAGATGATCAAGAGCAGCTTTGGGGGCAGATGGTGGTGTTCACCACATTCAAAAAGGGGAAAAATGATGCTTTAGCAATCCTGTTAACTTTTCTCTCTTTTTTTTAATTCTTACCCAAGGGCATTTTTTTTCCCCGTGGCTTTTTGGGTGGAGGGGAGGGGGGGAGTGAGTGAGAGGGGGACAGGGGGAGAGGGGAGAGAGAGAGAGATGAATAGGTTGCCTTCTCACTTCTGCCTCAATGGCGGGGGGAGGGGATCAAACCTGTAACCTGGGCATTTGTCCTGACGGGGAATCGAACCCAAGACCTTTTGGTCCATAGGCGACGCTCCAACCAATGGAGCTACCCTGGCTAGGGCTAACTTTTCTCTTTTTTTAAAAAAAATTAAAAGTATGTTTATTGATTTTAGGGAGAAAGAGAAACATAGATGTGAGGGAGAAACACCGATTAGCTGCCCCTCATACACGCCCGCCAGGGATTGAACCCTAAACTAAGGTATCTGCCCAGACTGGGAATGGAACCCCCAACTTTGTGGTGTACAGGATGGCGCTCCAATCAACTGAGCCATGCCAGCCAGGGCCTGGTACCTACGATTTTTCCATTTTTCAGTTCAAGAGGAACTGTGGGAAAGGACTTGTCCTTAAATTACCAAACCATTTCCCTCATCCCCTACGTGCACCCGTCCAAACAACCAAGAGGTCTTCTCCTTAATTGGGAACAATACCTTCCCAAGGTACCCCCCCATCCAAGTATCCAGCCAATCCTTAAGCCCCGAGGACAGATGCGGGCAGAGCGCAAGTGGTCCAAACTTCATTGCCTCCCAGGGCCCACGCTCCTAAGCCTCCTCAGCAGCACTGTTGCCGGCACCTGGGCCGCGCCCCTCCACCGCCCTGGCCGGACGTTAACACGGGAACTTGGTGGCCGTGTTTTTCATACCAGCCTTCACCTGAGCTCTCGGTGACACTTGAGAAGTGGCGGACGAGCGGCTCTAGAACAATCCACTCTGGCTTCACCTTCGCAGCAGCTGCCAGTGGCTACGAACCGGTCGTCACTTTCGCCTCCAGATTGGCTAATGCCCTGACGCTTTACATCCTGCGACGCTCGAGGAAGTGATGCGGAAAGAGACTGTGCCGCGAGAGCCTATACGCGAGCGCCTCCGCGACAGACGCCCGGAACCGAGGTTTCCGGTCCGGCGTTTAAGCCGCCTAGAGGGCGCGGGAGCAAAGTATGCTGGGAGTTGTAGTTTCTTAGTGCTCAGCTGTCGTTTTCCAACTTTCTTAGGTTCTGAACTTCAGTGCACATATTATAATGTCAGAAATCAGGTAGCTACACTCTGGTTCAGGAGTGACTCTCAAACTTCGTTTCCATCCTATTGAACCTTTTAAAAAAAGTTGACTCTCCCTGGCTGGTGTGGCTCAGTGGATTGAGCCCTGGCCTGTGAACCAAAGGATCACTGGTTCCGACCAGGCCACATGCCTGGGTTGCGGGCCAGGTCCCTAGCCAGGGGTGCGGGAGAGGCAGCCACACATTGATGTTTCTCTCCCTCTCTTCCCCTCTGTCTAAAAATAAATAAAATCTTTTTAAAAAAGTTGACTCATAACATACAGAATGATTAGTTTTTATTTAGTTAACACCCATAGTATAACGTACAGATCCGGGTACGGCACATTTTCACCACCCTCGTAGGTTCCCTCGTGACTTTCCTAACAAATTTCTAGAACTTTTGGGGGGAACATTATGACCTATTTCAGGGATTTGATGGGATGGGTGTGTCCTTGTTTTCTCTCTCTCTCTACCTTTTTAGTGACTGTACGTCCTAATTCATTGAAGTTACTGAGACACCCAATTTTGTCCTGGACTTATCGCCCTTGGGAACAACCAGAGCCCTTATCTTTGGTTCATCGTGCTCCATTACTGAACTTCGGGCAGATAAGAATACAAAGGTAGAAGGGAAGCCCAGCCAAAGGTCTACTTCTGACCGAGCTGGAATCATCCACAACTGCGTTCCGTTGCCAGAGAGGCCGACGTAGGGAGTCTTCAGCCTCATTGTCAGCCTTTGGGTTCTAGAATGTGGAAACCGCTCAGGCGTCGGTGCGCGGCAGGCGTTTGCAGGAAGGGGGCGCTCGCACTCCCCTTTGGTGGGTGGGTGAAGTGGAGACACTCTACCCGAAGGGAAGCTCTCGATGAGCTGCGCCTTGCGTCCCCACGCTGAGGCGGCGGGACGATGCGCTTGCGCCCAGAGAGCTCACACCATATGTGCCCTGTCCCAGTACGCGGGTCTGTGGAGAGCCGGTGCGAGAGGCGGCAGCGCGGAGGAGAACGGAGCCGAACGGAGAGCAAAGTCGGACGTGGAGAGTGAATCTGTGAGAGACCGACTAGAGGAGTTGGAACCACGAGCGCTGCCACCACGCGATGGGGAAGAAGCAGAAAAACAAGAGTGAAGACAGGTAAACCAGTGTCTGGGTCTGGTCAGCAGCGGCCGGCGCGGCTGAGGAGGTCGCGCGGGTCCCGCTAGCGCGGGGTGGACCCAGGGTGGAGGCTTGAGGCCGGCCTTGCAGAGCACCGGACCTGGGCCCTGAGTGGGTGCCGCGGGTCCGAGACCCCAGTGCGAGGCAGGCGCGGAGGGCCTCGGCTGCGGGCGGGTTGTCCCAGCTAAGGCTCAGTCCCACTGCTACTGCTCGCCCGGCCAGGAACAGACCGGTCTCCGGCCTGAGAAGTGTGGCAGTGGTTTTGGAGCGCCTGGCGTGATTCGGCGAGTGGGGGTTTTGTGGAGGAAGTTTAGGCGAGGGTCAGGAAGAGTACTCATTACGCCTTTGTACCTGTGAATACTTGGAAAGAGGAGGGAGTTCGAATCAGCTGTACCTACGGCCAGGTTTTTCCACTCTCGAGCCTCTCGTGTACGTTGGAGATGTTTAACACTTAACTCCCTTTTTATTTAATTTGGGCGCAGTTTTGAATTATTTAAGGGCTGATTGTTCAGACTCTGTGCTTTTCGCTTTCCTTCTTCCGGCCAGTCTTTGGGTGATTTCTTTGCTCTCTAGCACCTCCCCTAAGAAAGGAGAAGGTGAAACAAACCAATCCGGGGTCACTTGTTTCTCATCACTTAAAACGCTTTTGCGAAGAGGGACTAGAAAGGTGTGTAGAATTATATACCCCAGGATTTTGGTAACTTTTCTGTGTCACATTGGATTGAGTCTTCTACTCTTGTTGAAAGAGTTTATACTAACCGGGAGTGCATCTGCTACTTTTCATCTTTGTATACCACTCACCAAGCTTAGTTCAATACTAGGGGGGAGGGTCAAGTAAGTTGAAACAAAACAACCTTTGATAATTCATCATTCTGATTCAAAACGGATGTGTGGTCTTGAAGTTAAAATAAGGTCACTAATTACAAGTTGGAAGCCTAGATCGTTTCCTCACCTGGCACTCAATCTAGCTGACGAGTGGGATTCAAAGATACCAAGATGAGTTTTGTATTGTATTTCAGTTGCAGGTCCACTTATTGGTTTAAACAATAAAACTTAATTGTTAGTCGAACCAGATAAGTAAAAAAATAGCAGAATTTTGGATGATTTAGTGGGAATAAAATTTCTCCAGTTTTGACAGGATGTTTTGATGCGTAGGATACTTTTTTCCTTTAAATGTGTACCAAAAAAAACAAAATAGATGCGTATAAGAAGCTTCATGTACTAATTAACCAGCTTCAGGCATTGTTATGACTAATCCTGTTTCATCCACCTGTTGGATATTTTAAAGCAACTCTCAGAATCCTTTAATGTGTAAGTCCTTAAGGTGTATCCAAAAAAAAAAAGTAGAAACAGAACATAAAACACAACCACAGTGCCACCTTCAAGCCTAAGGAATATTAACAATGATTTCTTAAATATTATGAAGTATCCAGTTTCCTAACATCACTGATTCTCTTATTTAAAAATTTTTTTTTAAACAATTGGTGTGTTTGATTCAGGATTACAGAAGTCTGTTCTTTAGGTTAAAAAGTACATGCATTATGTTTTTTTACTAACAGTTTTTACTTTCCAGACTCTCACATTGGGGGGAAAAGCTATCAGAGGGGAGAGATTTATTGTTTGTGTATTCATAGAGGAAAGTGTATCCCTTATTGATTTGTAAAGATTTTCATGGTTGATGTGAAGTTTAAATTGTAAACACTGGAGCTTGTTGTTAAAAATTGGTTTGGAAGTGTATTGTAGAAGGAATGCTATTTTTTTTTAATCCCTGCTCAGACTAATTTGTGGTCTTTTGGGGGGGGTCATCTTGAAGAGGAAGTGGTGGCAATGTAATTGAAAAAGTTTTCTCGCCCTGGCTGGCGTAGCTCAGTGGATTGAGCTCGGGCTGTGAACCAAAGTGTCCCAGGTTCGATTCCCAGCCAGGGAATGCTGGGGGTTATGCAGGCCATAACCCCCAGCAACCACACATTGATGTTTCTCTCTCTCTCTCTCTCTCTCTCTCTCCCCCTCCCTCCCTCTCTAAAAAAATAAATAAATAAAATCTTAAAAAAAAGAAAAAGTTTTCTCATATCATATTTTTCTCCATTTTTTTTTTAATGCTTCATGGACTCTTGGTTGAGTGCCGTTCAAATTTTATTATGTAACAAATCCTAGGGTTTTGCAGAGGGTCCTGTTTGACCAGAACTTCTGGGCCTTTTTACTTTGCAGTACATATAGGATATTTTGGGGTGGGCAGGGGAAGTTCCATTGCTTGGTTTGTTTGATCTTTTGTATATTTAAATAGTACAAGCATACCCTATATTGTTGTGCTTCGCAGATACTGCGTTTTTTTTTTTAATTGAAGGCAAGATCCTCTAGCGAAAAGATTACGACTTGCTAAAGCCCCAGTAGATAGTACTTTTAGCAGTAATGTAAATGTAATTTTTAATTAAAGTATGTTCATTTTGTTTTTTTAGACATAATGCTTTAGACACGATTAACAGACCACTGTATAAACATAACTTTTATATGCACTTGGAAACCAAAAAATTTGTGTGACTTGCTTTATTGAGGTGGTCTGGAACTGAACCCAAAGTTTCTCCAAGGTGTTCCTGTAATTTCTTCAAGGGCATTTTGAATATTTGTAAAAGGAACAAAAGCAGACTGGGAAGAAGGTCTGGGAGGAGAAGTCCTATTTTAGGATTAATATTCTTGTTTGTGTACAATGACATATTACCTGGTTTTACTCTCCTGTATGAAGATCTCCATTTTAAAGATTTTGCATTCATCCCACCTCCCCTTACCTCACAGGTTATCTATCCTAAGTAGAGCATGTTTCTGGCCAAGTAGAATTGGGTGAGAAATGAGCAGCTGTTTATTACCAAGATAAGGCACCAAGGTGCTTTTCATTTCTTGGAAAGAACATAAATTGCTTGACTGTTTCAATTCTTATATTTAATTAATCCTTATTTTAGCTCTTTAGCCACACAGTGTTCGTTTACAATTAAATTTTGTTCTAATTCGATATCTAGTTGGGGCACATGCCTAGGCTGTGCGTTTGGTTCCTGGTCTGGGCACGTGAGAGTCAACCTATCGATGTTTCTCTCCCTTTTTATGTACCTTCTTCCTTTTTGTCTCTCTAAAAATAAATACATTAGAAAAAATTAGATTTTATTTAATCTGAGCATTTTATTTGGATAGCACATGTTTTGTCATATTAGTGACTAAACTTTGTTTAAAGACTAAGTTCTAGAATTTTGTTGCAACTTGTATAATTCTGAGAATGAGGTTTTGAGTAGGGTTGTTCATCAAGTTCTCCTGACTTGGGTCATTTGGGGAAACTCTTGATAAGATGAGGGTACAATTTAATATCTACAGTTCATAAAAATACAAGGCTAATATTTTCGTTTCTTCCTATAATCTTCCTAGTCATCAGTTTACATAATGGGATCTTATGGGAACTTACATGCTCTTGAGATGTCTTACTGTTTCCATTTACACAATATGATATTTCTTAACTGATGTGTGCAGAGAAAAAGGACCTGGATTATCTAGTTTTTCACAATTAGCCTTCAGTTCTTCATTCTGGCCCCCCTCCATTTTGTTTTTGCTTTGTTTTTGATTCCCCTGAGTCTGCTAGTTATATATTTCAGGTTAAAAGGAATATGGTAGATCAGCTTAATTAATGGGATTAATACACCCTCCCCACCCCCCAAAGGATGTAGAGTGAAGGAAGACAATTATTTCACCTATCATCACACAGATATTATGGAGGTGGGGTTGTCATTCAAGAACTAGAAGGTCTTTCATGATTCAGTCAAGTTCTGGGGTATCTTCAGCATCGAGTATTTGTTGCTGTGGTTCTCTAGTCTACACGAATGGTGAGCCAGTGTAGTAATTCTACTACTCTTTGCTTTTAACTGGTACAGATAATGCTCCTGTCATCACTGTCATACTCTCTTATTTCTTGGGATTTCTGGCTGTCTGAGATAGTTGCCTAACCTTTAGATGATTGCCCTAGTGTCAGACATTCATCCTGGTCAGTCTGGGTTGCATGGTCCCTCCCCTGGGATAGAAGACATTGGTGCTCTGCTGAAGGAATCTGTCCAGAAGGAGCTGTGAATATAGCAGGTACTCCAAAGCTTCTCAGAGAGGGAGTGGTCCTGGTGTAATAACAAGTAGACTGATTCAACAAAGGAGTTTATTTCTCATTTGTATATATTTGAATTAATAAACCTCAATCTGCATACTTTAGATAAGAAAAAAAAGATGTTTAATCTGAGAGTTCTCTTAGCTTGTTCCTACATGGATACTTTAGGAAATTATATGTTGCAGGAGGGGAAGAGGTCCTCGTTTGCCATAAATGTATAAGAAAACAGATAATAGCCCTGGCTGGATAGGTCAGTGGGCTGGAGTGTTGTCCCCGCACACCAAAATGTTGCAGGTTGGATCCCCAGTCAGAGCACATAACTAGGTTGTGGGCTTGATCCTCAGGCTGCATTCCGGAGGCAATGATCCATGCTGCTCTCTCACATGGATGTTTGTGTCTCTTTCCCTGACCCCCTTCCCCTCTCTCTCTGAAATCATTCAACATCCTTGGGTGAGGTTTTTTTTGTTGTTGTTTGTTTGTTTGTTTTAAAGCAGGTGGTTAAACTTCTGTTGTTAGCTTATTCTGTACTGGTGATCTCTATTGGGAGCCGATGTAGCTGCTTGTATCGTTACTTGCCCACCAGTTGTGCATTGCTTATCTTTCAAAACTTATTCCAGTCTTGCCATTGATTTATAAGATGGCAAAGCATTGTTTTAACTGAGGAACTGAGTGTCAGTGGTTAGAAGAGCAGTTCTCAGAGTTTTTGGTCTTAGGACACCTGTAAATTCTTAAATTACTAAGGAACCCAAAATACTTTTGTCTATGTGAGTTACCTCTATCAATACTTACCATGTTACAAATTAAACAGAAGTCTTATTTATTAATTAAAAAATAAAACACATTGCATATT